AAGAATGATGAGGATGGTGTATTTTTAGTTAACGGACCAAATTATTAAGGGGCATTCTGGATAAGGTTAGTTTTTACTTTATATATGTTTGTGCCATTTGGGCGTTAGAAAAGTTTGTTAAGTCTACTCTTTTAATCATGTTTTACAACATGCCTTTATATTTACATTTCCATAGGAAGCGACCTCTGATGAACCTGGAGACGATATCTACACCTTTGAGGTTATGCAGATGTATCAGGTGGCCCGGCAGATCGCTAGAGGCATGGTAAGTACCACTATCAGGTGCTGCAGAGCTACATGTGCCAGGTGCTGCACATGTTACCGTAAACGTAGGAATTGCTGCAGATGTTCCACGTGCTGCAAATTCCAGATACTATAGATGCTATGCTATGTGTTTTAGACGTACCAGGTGCTACAGCTGCACTAGGTGCCACAAATGCACCAGATGCTGCCCATATGCATGAAATCAGTAAATAAGAATCTATTTCATCTGTACAATTGTGGATTACAATATACAATACATCAAATGCTCTCAAACGAAACATCACAATTGCAGCATTGGTTGGCTGGATCTTAGCCAAGACTGATGTAAAAAAAAAAAGAACCGTCACGGACTTCATGTGTTGTTCATGATCCAGGATCACATCGCCCGGTCTCGTTACGTCCACGGAGACCTGGCCGCTCGGAACGTGCTGGTCGGAAAACGCCTGCATGTGAAGATTTCTGACTTCGGGCTGGCAGAAGACATCTACAGCCGAGGTTACCGTCGGCAGGACCGGCTCCAGAGGGTTCCCTGGAAGTGGATGGCGCCGGAGCGGCTGGAGGATGGGAAAGCCTACAGCTCACAGAGCGATGTGTGAGTAGTCTTATCATAATGTCTGCAGTCAACTATTATAATCAAACTATAACTCTAACCTAACATCAAACAGAGCGATGTGTAAGGAATCTTATCATAATATCTGCAGTTAACTACTATAATATCAACTCTCTAACCCTAACCTAACACCAAAGAGAGCGATGTGGGAGGAGTCTTATCATAATGCCTGCAGTAACTATGATAACCAATCCAAAACTCTAACCTAACACAGACAGACCGATGTGTAAGTCTTATCATAATAATGCCTGCAGTTAACTATGATAACCAATGTCTAACTCTAACCTAACACCACACAGAGCGATGTGTGAGGAGTCTTATCATAATAATGCCTGCAGTTAACTATGATAACCAATGTCTAACTCTAACCCAACACCACACAGAGCGATGTGTGAGGAGTCTTATCATGATAATACCTTCAGTTAACTATGATAACCAATCTAAAACTCCAACCTAACACCAGACAGAGCGATGTGTGAGGAGTCTTATTATACTAACTATAGTATTACCAATCCTGACCCATAATTTCTTAAAAGGCCATCTCTCAAAGTTACCGTGACTTCAAATCAACTTTTAACAGGTGGTCCTTCGGGATAGTGCTGTACGAGATCTGCACGCTAGGGGGCGACCCTTACCCTGGCGTGGCAGTATCCGAGCTGAAAGAGCGCCTACAGGCTGGATTCAGGATGGACCAACCTGAAGACTGTCCGCGAGCCATGTAAGTCTGCTAGTTTATGTACACTAATCATTAGCATTCGGACCAAGTTTAACTCTTTCATAGAATGACGTACTTACTATTAGATAGGAACAGAAGCACCCATATCATCGAAATACACCCGGTAACCATTTACGTTATCCTGCTCACCCTCAAAAATGCATGCTATTGCTCGAAACTGAAACTCCGTACAGCACACTTTTATATGCTCCAAATTTTGTGAATCGCAATAAGGTAAACTATGAGGCCATAATGCATTTTGCCCGAGGACCTAAATTGCTTAAGTTCAAATGACGATCGGTAGATGTCGCTTTCTCCACAGGTACGATCTGATGCAGCAGTGTTGGCGCTGGCAGCCCATCCAGCGGCCGCTCTTCAGCCAGCTGTATCTAACACTGGACAAGCATCTCGCCTTCTACGGACCCGAGTACTTACTTAATTAATCACCTTTGCTCCCGTTGGAGACCAATGCACCATCAAACTTCTTCCAGCCGTTCCAATCTTGGCCCAGCCATCTGTTCTCATGCCAGGTCTTTTGGGTTGTCTTTATTTCTTCTTCCACAGTCCTTCTCCATGTGCCTAGAGGAGCTTTCCTTGGGAGTCCATCTGAGGGGAACGTATGAATGCTTGTTCTTGCTCGTACGTAGAATATGCCCTAACCATCACCAACAACGTTTGGGATACCTTACATCTGCTGACTACCTTGTTGTCTACTTTTTTCTCTCTCAATGTCTCTTTCAGCTCCTTCGGACGCACCTGCTTCTCGATCTTTTTGTTTGTCTTTTTCAAGGTTTATGCGGCGCACGGATTGACTAAATGAACATTTGAGTTGTATATCCTTCTTGATTGGTACATTTTGGTTTCCTTGATTCTCGCTCCGTCTCAGCGTGTGTTGCGTAGCTACTTTTCTGCCTAAGCAAGCCGCGTTCGAATTCCGCATTCTATTTTAAATGTCCCCTCTGCGACGTAAGCAGTTTAAATGGGTCTATTCAGGACGAGGACACCACCAATGTACATAGGTAGCTTAAGTCAAGGTATATATAATAAGGCACAATTTATGCAAACTAAGGCGTTTTGCAAATGGTGTATGTTAACTAAGAAAGAAATTCCATAATTCCGTTTTTTCATCATTGCAAATTTATATACTTATACTTAGCAAAACTTAAGTGATTGGAATGTCATACTAACAATACTAATAAGATAACCAAATGTGAACTGTATTATGCTTACATTATGTAAATGTAGACATAATTTGAAAATAAGAAAGTGTTTAAATAGTATTCTGCCAAAGAAAAGAAATTTTACATTCAACTATATATGTACTTCATGACGATTAAGCTATATATACTGCACTAATTAGCAACTTATTTGCGTCATTATTGACATAAATAAAACAAAACATTACAAAAAGATAGACTACAAAAGTTTCAGAACTTCAATCTATTGTGACAATATCTTACCAGTTAATTTTGTATCAATTGATAGTCTTCTACACAATTCCTTTAAATTTGGTGGCGACCTAAAAAATATTTAAAAATAAAGTATACTTCACTTATCGTATCACTTCACTCCACATCAATAACGTTTGCATCTTAATCAGAGGTATTTAACACTTTCTATAGATTATATAAAATTGATTAAGATATAGCTTCTAAGCAAAGAAATGTTAACATAGCATAATGCTGTAAGACGAATATCAATACTTAACGATATGTGTAATCAAGGAGAAAACTATCAATATACATATAGATTGTTAGCGTGAAAGTTCAGTGTGTTGGTACAAGTCATTATGAAATAAAGACTAACCTTTAAGTTCCAACACTTAGATTACAGAATTGGGACTTACCCAAATTTTCGGTTGACTCCATCAACCTTGTTCATAGCATATTGATTGTTGTAATTAGCAACTTATTAATTCATACATAAAATAAAACGTTACAAAAAAAATTGACGTTAGTTTCATAACTTTAAACGATTGTTTAAATAATACCTTACTTATTATTGTATCAGTTTGGTTGTGACCCGGTATGCTCTGTGTGTATGTTGTTTAAATTTGACAGGAATGTGTAGTGTGTAATCATTGTATGAAACATAGACCTTAGTGTAATAACGGATTGTACAATAACTTGTACAATAAATCCCA